TACAGCAGTAATTCTGGATTTGGAGTTGCTAACTTTGACATTTTTATAAAGAATATGCTGGTTATTTTTTCCCCCCATTTGATATACTTTCTGTTTGTGAACCAAGGCAAACAGATAACCAAAGCATTCATTCTGTGCTATGGGAGCGTTCATTAGTGCAAAATGTTTTCACTTAAATTAGTCCCCAAAGAGTTAACAGTGTAATAAATGGAAGACATCATAAACTGAGGCAGTACAGTAACCTTTGTTTCAAACCTAATTCACAAGCAGTGCCAGCAAACTAAAACAGAACCACTCTGTTTCAGACTCGATGTAAGTAGCTAAATTTCCATCCTCCTATACTTTAAAGGTTATTAGTTTTTAGTCAACTTTATAAGGGTAAGTCAACATTTGTCATGGCAGGCAGCCCAATATTATTATTTTTATTAGTCTGCTACTAGTTAAATTGGCCTAAGATTAAACAGTTCTAATAAATGCCCCCAAAACTTGGAGTTCAATAGAAAAAGAAACCAACCCAAACACATTCAAGCTCTGTTCCACAGGATGTTATCAGTATTTAACCTTCAGTAGGATTAAAAAAAAACCCAACAAAACAAACAAAAAAGGTCAAATATAGAAAAAACAACCTATGTTACAAAAGAGTCTCTTAATACAGCAAACACTTAACCTAAAAATAAATTAAGCCAGGCATCTCAGGCCTTTTGTTTCTTCAGAGAGAAGCAATTCTAAAACTAGACCAACATTCCCAACTGTTATTGGCACCAACAGAGACCACTTGAAACAGCACAGAATTTGTTTTTGCTTCATATTATCACAGGAACATTCTGATTGGGAAATTCTAGAACATTCGCTCTTCTAGAGTTGAGGTTGATGGTCAAGAAAAACAAAGGTGACTCTAAAGCAGCTCTAAGTTCAGTGTGGCACAAAGGTAAATGTAATCGGCCACACAAATCCACCAGTAAACTGCCAGCATTGCAAGAAGAATTTATTAAGCTATTTAAGTAAATTAATGCATAAAGACAACGTGATCATCCGATAAACTCAAAGTATCAGTGATACAACTTTTAAATCCATAAGGGTCTATCCGTCACCTGAGCTCTCTGATGGGAGCAGAGGGAGGTATGTTATTGCTCCTCTGCAAGTCTCCAAAGAACTAGCAAGCAACTAAAGGAAAATCCAGAGACATTCTGTTTTAATCACAGTGTTACAAAGACAACCTGAAACATTACTTGTGGTACAATGAAAAGCCATATGGAGAAGTCCAAAAAAATCAGCTCAAGTTTGTAACATGCTATCGCATCATGTGTTCATCAGAGAGTGGCTCCTTGCCACAAATAGGCTGCCCTCATTAGTCACCACCCTCAAGACCTCAGATTTCATTTGCTGTATGTAAGACAGAACCACCAAAGTGTCAGCAGCATAAGGACAAATTGCATCCAGCTATCCTGACTGATCATTCATGTCTGCGATATCCAGAAATCAATGTATCTACCAGGAGTTAGGAAATGAAGGCAAATTAACAGAAAAACCTCACACTGAGGTGAATTAGCACAAACAACAGAAACTCTGAAAAACCCAGACAGCTAATGTAGAGTTGATTAAATTCTGCATTTCCTCTCATTAGAAGCTGCTTGTACAGGCTACCTAAGAAAGACCTTTTCCATTCTGGAGCAAACTGGGTATGAAGCTGACCTGCCAATTAATAAGCAGACATCATACGGTGAGTTACTGAATGCAAAAATAAAGGCAAGCTGTTTGTTTCAAATTGCCATTAAACAGATCAGCAATTCCATATGGGGGTTTGACATGTTTCCACATTTAGCTCACTGCAGTTACACTGCAGATGAACCTACCTGAAAAACTGCAATTTGCTAATATTTCATTAAAAATGAAATACATACGTTTATGAAGATCAAGATAAAATTCATGACTTGCAGTTTATCTCATAATCTTTTGGTCCCTTTCCCTCTGGCCCCATGCCTGCTTCTCATGTTAATGACGTGCCATGGCCTAGAGGCCTGCGGATTACCCTTCAGGTTAGCCTTCCTCCACTCCCCATGCTGAATTAAACACAGGCCTAAATTGAGGCAGCCTACACCTCCTGTACATCAACACATCAAGGATAGCTGGAGACAACAAAAGACAGATTGCAAACAGCCCTGATTCCTAGACCTGAGATTTCTGAAGCACAAGAGATGTAAGCAGACACACAATCTACCAGAGATGCAAAGGAATTCTGTGCCACTGCTATAGTTTTTAGAGCCTCAACCAGGGACTGTATTAGACCCTGCACAGCAGAACAGAACATCCTTACTCTGAGGGATTCAAGTCTTCCTTCCCTCGACTTCACCTTCAGACCTTTAAACCTCACAACCTGTGATTGTGCATGCTCTTTCTTATCTGCTGCCCTTCCACTGGCTGTGCTTCACTTTGTTTTCTTTAGAGAGGGTGAGAAGGGAGTTGCTTTCATCAGTGAAAGAGAAAATGATATTTATCATTGGGAAGATGTGGGGCTTTTTATCTCTTAAAGCAAGAAAATTTCAAGTTTCATTGTCTCTATCTTTGGATTATGTAAAAGCTGGAAAGAGCCCAACACCTATGTACTGTTTACACCCAGAACCGTAACACAGTATTTGATGTGGGGTATGTATTTTGAAAGGTGACTGTACTTTGACTAGAGGTACACTAGCCTTTTCTCAGCATCCAGACTTTTACTGTTCATGGACATTTTGAACATTTCATTTGTCACTGTTTTGTGACTGTGCTACTTCTATGGAGTTTATGCTAAGGAAGCTCTTGTGGCTTAAAGAAAGAACTGTAAATAGAAAACCTTTGTTCTCTTTTTTTTTTTGCCACTAACTTGTTCCTCAAAAACATCCCTAGTTTTCCACAGCTGCTCTGCTGGCTCCAAATGAAGCCCAATACAGAAGAATTCATCTACTGCCAATAAACTTCAGCTTGTTACCCAGAGCCCTCCAGCTGGAAATTTGGGAAAATTTCAAGAGTCCAGTATTTGCTCAAGATTTCTGCTGAATTTCATCCCATGTAAGTACTTTTGAGCTTCCAGACTATATTTTGTATTTGTTAAAATCGAACACTAAAACATTAATTGTTTAATAAAGTCACAGGAAATAGTTTATAATCATGAGTTCTGATTTAAAACCAAACCACAACATTTATATCACAGAAAATCTGTTCTATTCCACACACAGACATTTATGCACAAGTTATTAAATAAATCAACCCACTTCCCATGTTAACAGTTAAAATGAAACTGAGGTTTTAAAAGCCCGAAATTCATAACCCCTACAGAGCAAGCTGGCTTTCTGGTGTAGTAACACTAGATTGTGGTAGAAGGCGCCCAGTAGCTTTTATTTAGCCCTGTAAACACCAAAGGGCAGTAGAATAGCTTAACATTAGAGCTTGAGAAGAAATGTGGATTGCCCACCCCACACATACAGATCACAAAGAAACAGGCTGCACACACCTATCCTTGTAACGCCTTTCCCAAAGAGCAGTCTTTTATTTCTGCTTTCTTAACCAAATATCTGCAGTGGCAGGTGGTCTGCTCGTACCCTCCTAAGGCAAACCGACTGTTCAGAAGTTTATTTTTCAGAATGCTGCAAGTCCCTCATACTCTCAGAGAACAGCCTGAAAGCATAGGGTGCATTTTCTTAGTTGCATGAAACACAAACTGGAAGATTATAAACCCAGAACAACTGTTTGCACATTGTAATTTTGATGGATCACATCTGTTATTAGATACTTCCTCATGCACTAAGCTTTCACTGAGACTTCGTCTTTGAAATTTGACTATAACCAAGCTGCCCTTTGTAACTCTGAGAGTGCAACACTCCAACTCTTCAGATTTGACAGTTCTATTCATTCACAAAAAAAACATTCATGCAGTAAAGGCTAAAACCATATTTCGTTAATACTGTAGTTAGCAAAACGAGTATCCCAGGAGAACCGCAGAGACACCCTCAGGGTGTTAGTTTCCAAAAACAGACAGTAGAAAAAAATTCCCCTTTTGTCAACTGCAGTAATTATATTCCTTTTTGTAAAAGTGCACAGAAAAGCTAGAGTGCAGCATCTTCTTATTAGCTCTTAGCTAAAGCGTCATGATTAAATAGGGTCACTCAGATCATCTTACTTTTACTTTAGATGTCTTCAACTGCTGGAAGTAATTAATCTTTGATGCAGTTGTATTAAATGCACCCAATTCAGTAAGTTCTCTTCAAGTTACTCAGCAAACAAGACCAATGAAGCAGCTATATATTTAAGTGATAAAAACTTCCAGAGAGAAATTCTATCCTTCCTCCAGCACAGCCAGACAGAACCCTTCAGGTCACTATTTTCTTTCCAAACCAACACACAAAACCAACATTAACATGAAGTATCAAATATTTAAGTCTTTCACAAACATTTGCTCCTGAAACATTCCACCATGTATGAGAATTTTGCAAGTGAATATGTTGAGTTTGGGTTAAAGAATACAAGTTTTAATGTCACCAAAAAGGATTTCGTACTTTTTAAGAAACAGAGGAGTCAACCTGTTGATATAGGGCAGAGTTTTCAGTTAACTGTATTATCGAATTAATTTCTTGGTTTATTTCTAATGAGGAAAAGACCGATAACACTTTAAAATACCGTTTTACGGATTTCCTCTTGGTTCCTCCGTCAGTTTAACAGTTTGTAAGCAACAGTTAGCCCTAGATTAAGATACATATAAATACCTTAAACTAAAGATCTAAACTAGGTATTTCTCAATAAGCTACTTAAAAGATTAATTTGCATTCCTTAAAGTGACAGAAGACAAAACTCTCGATTCTTTGTTCCTTGCTCACTATCTAGAGAAGGCAGCAAAGGATGCCTCAGCAGACCAGGTATCTACACACAGAAGCCTATTTTCAAAGCACGTTACTTTTCCCAAAAGCAATGCAGATCACACTATAATGAAAAAATAAAGCTGGCAGCGCGTCAGCAGCAAATTAAAGTACCTCCGTCTCTTTAGCTGGGCTGGTCACCGGCTGCACTTCCAGGGCACAGTTTGCTCTCTTGACGGAGAGGTAAAAGGGATAGTCCTTGGCCACCATCGTGGCTGTCGGAGACGCGGTTTCGGGGGTCACCGCTGCTTCTGTCCGAGCACAGGACCCAAGACGA